TAGATAGATAGATAGATAGATAGATAGATAGATAGATAGATAGATAGTGGATGGATGGATAGATAGTTAGATGATAGACAGATAATAGATGGATAGATAGCTAGATAGATGAATGGATGGATGGATAGATAGGTAGGTAGATAGGTAGTAACTTTAAATCAGAAAAAAAAAGATTGCTGCTCTCAAGCATTTAAAAAGTTATTTAGACATCAAAATTAGGGCTGGAGAGATGAGAGATGGCTCAGCCATTAAAGGCTAGGCTCACAACTGAAAATTTAAGAGATCCAAATTAATAGGATTTATGTTATAATCTTAGTATTCTTTCCTTCCTTTTAACCCCCCAATGAAACTGAAGATAATATAAACTAAAAAAGCAATGCCAGTGCTTAAAGTGTTATTAGTGCTTAAATATTTTCTGGTTCAAAGAAGAGTACGGGGCTGCAGAGACATCTCAGCTGTTAAGACTCTATACTGCTTTTCCATTTTGGTTCCTGGCTCCAGGAGTGATCCAACACTTCTGGACTTTGCAGGATTCATACACATATCCACATACCCACACACAGGCATTCACACATACATAGTTTATGAAATGAAATTTTTTTCTTTTTAAAAGCAATACTGGAGCTGGGCAGGTAGCTTATGGGTCATCAGATGACTCAGGTTCAATTCCCAGCACTCACATGATAGTTTACAAGTGTCACTAACTTCAACCTTAGGAGATCTGATGTCTTCTTTGGTCTCCAAGGACACCAGGCACACACACAGTACACATACATATATGTAGGCAAAACACCCATACACATTAAACAAATTTTAAAAGAACAACCTGATTCAAAATGTATATACAACTGATAAATACAATTTCTGACTACACAGATAGATTAATATTGTCAGCAGTGTTTTACATACTTATAATATATGCAATTGACCTAAAAGACTTGCTGCTATTGTATATGAGTGTATATATTTAAAAATAAATAAACTGGTAATAAAAATGGAGCATCACTGCTGACACATGCTCTGTTCAGAAAGGAAGCTGGAGTTAGAACTTGGGCTCCCTCTGAGCTGCAAGCAGCTGTTCAAACAAGGGAACTGAGACAGCAGCGCCTTCTCCATCTCATCGCGAAACTACAGGAAGGCTTTTCTGGAGTCCAGAGCCCCAGTGACAACATCTGTAAGGTGGATGCAGATCACAGAGCAGGAGGGGGTCTGTTGTGTTAAGCATTATCCTGGTCATATTGACTCAGTTTGATTGGATTTCCTTTATTACCCTGAGGTGACACAGGGAGATGATAAAATCTGTTATTGGACACAGTGCCATCCAGAAAGACCATCAAAATCTTAGCGAAAGGGTGGGAGGTAGAATATCATAGCTTATATCTTAAGGTAATGTTTCTAAAAGAACACTGCCATCTTTTTCCTTTGTGCTTCTTTTAATATATTTTTTAAGCCCTTCTACACCACAAATTATATTTCCTGCCCAGTTCTAAAACTAAGGCAGCCTAAAAACTGCTGTGAATTTTTCATTACAAAAAACCTTCTAGAATATAAATATCCATGCTTGCTCTAGCCTGACCGCTCAGAGTCACAGGTTTATAAATTGTATAAAGTATATAGTGTTAAGATGTTTACTAAAAATTATTAATAGGTTTTCTGAGTTATATAATTTAACTTCCCTGTGACTATTTTATAAAAAGTATTACCTCCACTAACAAAATAATATGTTTTGCTTGATAGATTGGTCATGTACTCATAGGACGCTACAGGTGTGCCAGGCACATTATGGCAGGCAGTTGGATACCATGGAAACGCAGAGTAGGGTGTGGCTAGGGGAGGGGACTTAATAAAAAACAGTTGTCAGTTGACTCTACCAATTTTGCTTCTCAGAATGAAGATGTCAGCCGTCCTTTCCTGCAAGATATTTCCTCTAGAACGCTCCTGAAATAGACAGGAGCCGTAGGCCGATGTGTCATTTTAGTTAATCAAAACAAGTAGGCAAATTAGTCTCTTTTATTTTTTTTTAATGAATGTAATTTAACAGTATTTAATTTGCATACAGGAAAGTTCACCCAGAAAAAAAAAAGTCTGCATTATGGCACTTTTGTAAACCTCAACAAAAGCCCATCATTAGGAGACCTAATTGATTTTTCCTCCCCACTCCTGAGGGAAGAAAGCTATGGCGGTACCTGCTTATTCACTCAGAGAAGAATGGGTGTGCCTGGTGGTTCAAGCAGAGATTTGGGTTTAAGAATCCTGTGGTTCTGTTCTGGCAGGGAGAGCTTGGCCAGTGTTTGCTTTGAGCATGCAGGAAATCTGTTTTTCAGAGCAATAGGAGAGCATCTCTGTCTGCCTAGTGACTTCCCCATGGGCCCAAGTTCATTTAGCTTGCAGCCTTCACTAGAATTATTTTATTTCTTGTTTATGTAAACCCGCCTTATTCCAGGAGAGGGGTTGTGGGGTTCTTATGTCAAATAAAAGAGAAGGTGTGGGGGGGAGTTCAGAAATCAGAAAGCCAGGGAGGGGGCTGTGGGGAAGCCAGGGACAGAGGTCAGAACAGAAAATAAGACCACAGGAGCTCTTCCGGGTGCCGGACTTAGTGTATTCATTAGGCTCCAGCAGTCCAGGAGTCAGAGGAAAGAGAGAAAGAGCAGCACTCACAAAACCTATACCACCCATTGTGGACCTGAAGCCCAGCCTGTGTTTTCTGGTGTTGAAAGTAGACATGGTTTTCCGGAGGATCTCCAGATGCCACATCCTCTAAGTGACTCTACTGTAAATACGCTCTTCTGCATGAGCCTTTCACGCCTGCACACAGCCAGCACAGGTCTTCAAGGGGCCTTCCACTAGACTGACTTTCTTCTTCAGTGTTGCGTTTTCTCCCAAAGATGCTCCAAGCCTCTCTCCACCTTACACTCTTTGCCTGCTCCCATCAGTCTCCCTTCTGCTCATCTCCATTCCCATGACAAGCAATTAGGAGATTGGAACCACTTCAGTTTGCAAAGTCAACAAAGGCTGGCATTGTCCTCCTCACTGACAGACATCTGTCTTTGGATGCCTGTCTCCAACCATTCCCCCCTCACCCACAGGGAATTGGTGCAACAGCTCATGATCCTCAGTGCCTACCAGCATTTATCCTCTGGGCTCTGCCATGATCCTACCCAGATGTTCCTCCCACGGGTGGTAAAATTGCAGGCCAGGGCATGAAAAGACCTTGCCAGCGGTAAGTCAGCATTTCATGGCAGAACATCAACAGCTCCCTTCCTTCCCTTGTATTGATCCCATAGTGATAAGTCAGTGTGTTTGCAGGTTTGGTGTTTAAGTCCGTTGATAATCACTGTAGAAGTTTTCTTAACTGTGCCCTGTAGATGTAAACAGCATCATCACAAGCAATAAGAAGACTGGCGTGTTTAAGACTCAGAAAATATCAAGCTGGTAAGATACCTCTCTGCATCCTGTCTGAATTCAAACATCCTGGTTGAAACTGCTGCTTCTTGATGCTATGGATGATTAACCGTAATACAATGATGCTAGTAACGTTAATTGAGCACTTGCTGCGTGTCAGTCACCGTTCTAAGCATTTCCCACCTATCATCTCATTGAGCCTTGTGAGACTCCCATGAGGCAGGCAGACACTCCAGTCAATAGATAAGAACACCAAAACACATAGAACACTCAAGGTCATGTATTATACAGTGAGTCAGGGTCACTTCACAGCTAGGATTAATCAACACGAGGTTGGGAAAAGCCTTGCTTGAAGCCTTCTTAAACAGCTTTGTTCCAGCGGTCCTCAGCATGGGGAGTTTTGTATCCCGAGGGGATTCTGGCAGTCCCGGGTGACGGGGTGACGGGGTGACGTTTTTGATGCTGTTGTTGTTGTTGTCGTCAGGACTTGGGGTCAGAGGGCACAATGGCAGTACTGCTTTCTGTTGGTCCTGCTGTCTAATGGTAGGGATTATTCATAGCCAACTTTCAAAACACAGCAAACCTTGATCTAGCAATGGTTTTCACAGACCAGGTGTGTCCGGTCCCTCCGGGTTCTGTTCACTCTTTTCCAGGCTAAGAGAAATGCTTTCCGTTGGCAAAACCAGTGTGTGTTCTGCGATGCCCTACCCTATGGCCAGGGGCCTACAGGGGGGGATGTCCTCATTTAGTCCTTTTCACAGGACGCAGCTATATCTGTGCATTTCTCCTCAGTGCATTTAACCACAAATGGCGTTATCCGTCTTTCACCCTTACTCCTTCATCCTCTGGTATTTTAAGTTTTCTCTGTGTTGAGGACACTTGCCAACCCCGACTGTAGTTTGAGAAGAACAGTTGGATGAACAGAGACAATGGATAAAAGCCAAAGTGAGGCTGGGCACAGTGGCACACATCTGCAATCTCAGCACTCAGGAGGGACGCTTAGGAGAGCCCTTCCTCCGTGGCTCATACGGCATCTCCTTCTGGGAAGGGCTTCATTTTGGTACATGCTTTTCAACCTGGTCTTTTAGTTATCAATCAAAAGTGCATTTTCTATGTTGTTCTCATTTACATTTATTTAATGGCTAAGGTCATTTGTGACCATTTGAGTGTATTTCAGCATATGGAATCGGGATAATAGACCTGAGCTTCATGCTGTGCAGCGAGATTGTGTTTTTACAAGACATAATGTTGTTTACTGAGTGTTAATAATCACTAATTAATAAACATATCTAGGCTTCTAAAATGTTGCAGTTTTAAGGAATAAAAATGTCAAGTGTTTAACTTGGGGAGTGCAATAGAATTTCCTGCTATCTCTTCATAAAATAATTAAGTTACATAAAGGAAAAAAAAATGCTGCTGTTCACCACAGGGCAGATCCCAAATGTTTAGTGCCTGGCCTTTGTTCAAATATGTCTGTTCTCAAAACTGCTACTTCAAAGTTTTTCTTCTGATACATGGTGGGACATAAAGACTTACGGACAACATTTCAATAATGACACAAGACTCCCTAAGAGGGGCTTGGTTTCCCCCTCCCTTTTTTACCTTTACCACAGACTCAGTTTTAAAAAATTAAGAGCATTTTTATCCAAAGTCTTCTAATCAAAGCCAGGGAGCAGGTGCAGGGAGGGGCTGGCAGATGGCTCATTTGGTGAAGTGCTTGTCATGCAAGCTTGAGGACATGAGTTCAAATCCCTAGCACCATGTTAAGATTTAGTGGTGTGTGCCTGTAGCTCAAGCACCGCAGAGGAGAAGGCAGGAATGTCTCTGGGCTTTGATGGCTAGCCAGTCTAGCCAATCAGAACCTGAGCCTCAGGTTCTGTTTCATCAAATAAGGTAGAGAAATGACTGGGGAGCGCACACAACGTTCGCCTGTAGCCTCTGCATGCACACACACCCACAGGGTGGGGGTGGGACAATGGAATGACTCAGGAAGTGTGAGGATCTGCTTGACCACTTAACCTCCAGCAGCTCAGGAAGCAAAGCCACCAGCCACTGTCACAGTAATCAGCGTCCCTCTGTGCCATTGCTTTCCCACCCATAACCAGTACAATGTGATGAACAAATTAGTTCCATGAGAAAAGAAATAAAAGGAACCCATTCACAAAGGAGCTCAGATATAGTTCAATATTCTTTTCTAGCGCCTCAATGCATATGCAGAATTTCTCCTCCAAATTGGAGGTGTGGAATAACAGTAGCGACAGATAACTAAGAGGTATTTACCATAGCTACAAAGCCTACACGTGAGCCAAATATTTCTGCTATTAAAAAGCACTTCAAAGCTTGACATGAAGTTTGTAACAGCTGAATGTCTCCTGTGACTTCATTTGCACAGGAGATGTAAAAGCTGAAAGGGAACTCATGATACAAGAACTGTGAGCCTACAAAATAGCGTTTTTGGAAAGGAACGAGAAGCTGCCCAGAAATTTGACTGGCACCCCACACCGTGGTTCCCCCCCCACTCAGTGTCTTTAGTAAGTGCTGTGGTTTGAGTAAGTGTCCTTGAAAGGTGTGGAGCTCTTGGGAGGTGCTGGAACCTTTAAGAGGCAGAACCTCTTCTTTGGAGGTGTCCCCTAAGAGGAGATGTGAGGATATTCAGAGCTACCCCACCCCTCTTGCTTCCAGGTGAGTCACTTCCTCTGCCACACACTCCAGCACTGTAGACTGCCTTACCACAGTTTCAAAAAGCAATGGGCCATGGACTGAAGCATATGAAACCAAACCAAAATCCTTCCTCTTTATAAGTTAATAGTCTCAGGTATTTTGTCATAGTATCGGAGAGCTGACCAGCACAGTAACCATCAGTCTTTCTCCTGTAAATATCTGATGTGCAGGATATTATATGCGACCCTTGTGACGGAATCATTCAACAACCCCCAAGCGGTTAGGACCCACAGGCTCAGATCCACTGCTTTATAGACTCCTATGACTGTGTAAACACAGTATTAGTGCTTATTGGCAGGGGCCTCTTGCAAGTGAGGGTCTGTGACAGGTGCTTCATTTAGCCTTGTAAATCTGCCCTGCTCTCACCAACACTTCCTTCCTTGTCCACCAGAACTTTTGTTTGTTTTTAAAACAGGGTCTCACTATGTAGCCCTGGCTATCCTGGAACTCGCTATGTAGACCAGGCTGGCCTTGAACTCACAGAGATCCTCCTGCCTCTGCCTCCCTCATGCTGGGATCAAAGGCATGTGCCACACACACCCAGCATTTTATTTTATTTTTTTAAAAATAACTATTAAATAGCAAACCACCTTGCTCCTTCCGATCCAGCTTAATCCTGCCTCACCGTGTTGAACACGAAAGCCTTGCTTGGGGAGGTGGGAAACCATAGTGCTGGCCCTTCAGGGGTCCCATACATGAAGATTCTGTATTTCACATCTCCGGGATCTCAGCAGCCATTTGATAGTTCCGTTCATCCATCCATGCAGCCATTCATTCATTTATCAAATGAGTCCAAGGTATGCCTTTAGGAATCTAAATACAGAACAGTTGGGAGCAGTTTGTGAACAAAGAAAACTGTACTTCTAAATATAGTGAGAAATTTATGAAAGAGCAAGGATATTTACAGCAGTTCAATTGTTGGGTTTATCTGAAGCTGTCTTTAAAATTGTGACTCTAACAAAGAACTACTTGGAACTTCTGACGTCTGCGTATTTCTGGGTCTTCCAGAATCAGTGAATACCATCATTCTTTGGTTAACATTAGTTAAAAATTACAATTTAAAGAACATTAAACTAGCCCCTCTGTGATGGTAAAAGTAAATTTCCCTTAAGGAAAAAATGTTTGTGTTTATGGGAAATTTGTCATTGAACTTAAGCTGCAGCTTTTACTATTCCTCATTAAGCTACATGTGTTTTGTGAACTAGTCAACTTGTTTTTAGGGTTTCTTACCTATGTGTGGGACAGCAGGGTCAGCCAGTAGCACCATCTCTGTTCCTGCCTAAGATCTGTGCCTGCCCTGTAGTCTGTTTCCTGTAGACGCTAAAATTGGAGTGATGAAAAATTGTTTTTAGATGTATATCCCCACCAACCAGGATCCAGTTGTTACCTTTTCCAGGCCTTCTGCCCTGCCTCTCCCCATCCCATCCATCCTCCACATTCCCAGCCTTGACTTTCTCCTTCCAGGGCCCATACCTCCTGTGTTTACTTTCTATCACTATCACAAGACCTACGACATTCTTATACAGAGAAAAAGGTTTATTGTTGGCATTAGTTTTTTGTTGTTGTTTTGTTTTGTTTTTTTACTCTTTTATTTACGTTTCTTACATCTTTTTCTCCCTATTCCACCCCAATCCCTTCCAACACCCCAACATCAGGTAGGAGAGAAAAAGAGTAGGAGAAGGGGCACAGTTCTTTCTTAGCTGCTTCCTGCTGGTTAGAGTCGTTGGGTTCCCTGGAGCCAGTCCAGTCCTCTTTTCAGGAGATCTCCAACTTCTTGTGTCACAACAGTAACCAGGAACAGCAAGGGGGAAGCAGGAGCAGCTTTGTTCTTTCTTGAATCTTCTCACTCTCTGGGCTCTGGCATTTATTCTCTCTCCAGAGTCCTCAGATTTAAACTCTGCAGCTGGCAAAGAGCTCCTCTCAGAGCCCGCACAAAGCAAATAGTCTGCTGCTGTGGACCATCTGAATCAGTCCCACATCCCACACCTGGGACCAAAACAAAAACATGTTTCTATCTACAACAGTTTATTCGTGGCTTACCTTTTTTCAGGGTCTATCCAATGGATGATTACATTGCTCTGGGTCCCTGAGGGTTGGGACACACAGCAATGGAAGAAAGCATATGGCGGAGCGTACTGCTCACCCCATGGTCAGGAAGAAAAAGAAAAAGAGGGAGATTATTGTGCTTCAAAGGCATGTCCCAGTGACCTAATGCCTCCCACCAGGCCCTGCTTCCTACAGGCCCCACCACCTTTACCATGCTAGGGACCAAACGTTAGCACACAGGCCTTCAGGGGACACCACTCAGG